GCTCAGCGGATCACCGATCGCGAAGTACCTCGTCCTCAAGGGCTCGAAGAGCATCACGAGTCACCGGACAGCGGGCGGTAATCACGTGGAACGTATTGTGGGACGACGTCGTCACCAGGGTCATACTCAATATTTGGTGAAGTGGCGGGGAGATTCCGACTCCAAAAAATCGTGGGAGTTTGAGGCGCCACTTCGGCAAGATTGCCCAGTCGCTGTAGACGCTTTTGATCAGGAAGATCAGGACGTCCCGCATCATCAGACGCCCCGCGCTTCCTGGCAATAGTCAGGGAAGTAGAAGGGCCATGGACTGATTTGAAGCAGTGGTTCTGAGCTCTTCCGGTCGAAGACACAGAGCTCGCGGGAGCGTTTAGGGTTAACCCATACGTCGCAGGGCGACAATCCAAAAAAAGTCGACGGTGTGCCATGCTTTTGGCAAACTCGAAGCGGTGGTGTCGCTCCAAACGCACGTCCACTTCCTTGTGGCTCGACTGTAGATTATACAGTGAGAAAAGTTTCCGGCGCCGTTGCACCCATCGCTCAAAGAGCTCTTTGTTATCTGTGGCGCTTTCGCCAGGGGTGAACAATACAGGTATTGTCCACATTGCGGGGACACGAGAGCCACCTCGTTGAGCACTCAGACAATTGCGATAAGCTTTCAGCGTACATTCTTGTGGAACCAAGAAACGAGCTCGAAGAGCCTTCTGTTTGGCAAGATCATCTTCCGTTCTGGCCAGGGGCCCGATGATGTGGACGCGTAAAAAAAAACGCTCGAGTTACCGCGTCCTTCGCTTCCACAGCGGGATCCGCTGGGCGGAAGCCATATTCCTCACGAGGGTCAACGACCGGCCGTGGATGGGCGCGCTCAAGGGCCGCCTTATGGGCAGCTTCCAGCTGCCGCCTCCGAGCCCCGTCGAGGTCATTGGTGATTACACCACGTTCATGGGGTCCGCAAGGCACGAGCAGGGCTCGTATCACGCTGCTGGCGCAGCTCGCCTTCCTCGTCATCCCATGCGGGAAAAGGAGT